CTGTATGTTAATTTTTATATCAGACCATTGGCCAGTTAAATCTACCTTAACTCTTGAGCAGTGGCCACCAAGGGGTAAATTCTTAGAGGTAAAGACAAATTTGCCAAAGTAAGAATGTTTTTTTTTTTTTGTTTGCTCTGTTTTTTTGTTTGATCTGTGTAATACATAATTCATAGTAGATAAGGAAGTATTTACTTTGGGATGGAAACCTTGTATGTCTAAAATAATTCCTTTATTGTAAATTTTGTTAGTTTATCTGCCTGTTATTTTAAACAATAGGATGTAGAACTAGACCTGATATTTTTCATAACTTTTGTGAGACACTTTTGTATAAATTAGGACATTAATTCATAAACCAGTTTATCTGAATTCTAGAAATCCAAGTTTTCTGCCCAACAGCAATGATGAACTGCATCGCACCATTGTATCTCCTGCAATTATAGTAGTTAGACAAGAGCTGTCAGTCTGATAAAGAACCTGGTTGTTATTCGATATTATAAAGTTTAGCTGTTTTATGAATTGCAACATAAAACTGACTAAAACCTTTTAGCGTTTTATTCGACTTAAATTGGACAAAATCCATCACATATAGACATACTGACTAGAATGTGGTTAAAACTGATAATATTTTGTTCTGAAGATTAAAATTAAGGCTGAATCTAAAATGGCTGTCAAAATAAATAGGTCAGATAAAGGTGAGATGAATATTTTACATAAAAACCAATAAAAAAAATAAATTTGAGATCCAAAAATTAATGAGCAGATTTAGGTAACAACAAAACTGAAAGTCTGAAGAAACATTTTAACCTTTTGATAAATAATGCTGAAATTCATATAATTGAGGAAGGTATGAAATCTGATTACTGTGATAACCCCATGGTATGTTATGAAAAATGAACTGAAATGTGCTGCATTTCAGTCTGCTTGTCAACTTGCTTAATTAACTGGGCTCTGATTTGACCGTGGAGCCAGCAGTGTTTGGCCAGTATACTAAAATTATCTGGAGGTCAGTGCTGAAAGTCTGTCTGAGGGCAAAGAGAGTGTGATGGGAATGACTCTGCAAAAATTCCCTCTACTTTGCCTCCACAGTATCTGACTATGCAAAGCATATCTGTTTCTGTCTGTCTGTCTGCCTGCCTGTCTATCTATACACTCATGTATATATATATATATATATATATATATATATATATATATATATATATATATATATATATATA